ACGTGTGTGAGCACAGCACGTGTGAGCGCCCGGTGCCGCGCACCCCCTGCTGTGGGTGGCACCAGGTGGGGCGGGGCCAAATGGGCGGAGCCTATCAGGGCGTGGCCAAAAAAAGGGAGGAGGAGCCTAACAGGGCGTGGTCCGAATCAGGGCGGGGCCAAATTGGGTGTGGCCAAAGTGGGCGGAGCCTCCAGCCCCAGCCCCGCCCCCTGGCATCGCAGCATCCGATGGGCTCCGAGCACGCGGCGGGACCCGGCCCCCGTGCGGCTCCCGGGGGCTGCAGGTGCTGCCCACGCCCCCCGCCCGAAACGGGGCCAGGGCAGGGCCGGGACCACCCCCCCCGCCTCGGTAGGGGCACGGGGTTGGGGCCGGGGCCGAGCCATCCCCTTGGCGCGGGTGTCGTGGGCTGCGCGTGTGCAGGCGCCTTTTTTTTTTTTTTTTTGGATAGCAGTAGAATGCAGTATGCAAATGAGATGGTTATTACCGCAATGTTCGTCAAGCTGAGCTGAGAAGACATTAATAGCCTGATGAATATGCATGTGAATTTGTTAATTAAGTTAATTATTCTGCTGAAAATGCATTCGTCTTCCAAGGACATTTTCCCAATGATTTTTACATGCTTCAGTCATTAGTCATGCTATATTTTATCAGGGAAATGAGTTTGCTTAAGTTGTAAAAAAAAAAAAAAAAAAAAAAGGGAAAAAAAAAAAAAAGAAGAAGAGAGAAAAGAAAGAAAGAGCGAAAGGAAGCCGGGAAGGCAGGAAGGGGAGCAGGAGAGGAGAAACAAAGCGCGGGCGGCGGGCGCGGGCCCCAGCCGAGGGGAGCACCGGGGGCGCGGGGCTGCAGGTGGGTGCGGGCGCCCCCGCGCTCCCGGCACCGTCCCCCCCCCTTTGGTCCCCCCCCCAGGTCCCTCTGATGACAAACTTTTTTTTTTTCCGGTGCCAAATTTCCAACACATTAATTAATTGTTGTAGCCAATTAACTGTAGTTGTGCAAATGAGTTTAGCACTAATTACCATGCAGTGCCTGTAATCACATAAAAAACTTGCTGAGAGATGGAGGGAGCGGGAGGGAGCTGGGGGGGGGACCGGGCAGCGGGAGCTGGCGGGGGCAGAGGGGACAAGGCCAGGTCCCCCCCCCCCCACCGGACACAGGGCCGTCTGTCCCTAACCGTGCCCGACACCCACCCGCTCTGTGCTGTGAGGGGGGGGCAGCAGATTTGGGAGCCCCCAGTGCCAGGCCCTGGCAGGACGTGGCCAGTGGTCCCGCAGCCCGGGGCAGCAGCGGGGTGAGGCCACCCTCACGGTGTCACCCCGGTGTCCCCAGGGCTGGCGGGGGCTCGGTGGGAGGGGGCGTGGGGGTCCGGCCGCGAGGTGGGGGTGCAGGGGCAGATGCTCACCTGCTCCTGGTCCCTGTCCTTAGAGGTGTGGGGGCACCCCCGTGGCTGCTGCCCTGCCACGAGCTGTGCCGAGCTGTGCCGTGCCATGCTGAGCCGTGCCGTGCCAAGCTGTGCCGTGCTACCATGCCATGCCGAGCTGTGCTGTGCCATGCCGAGCCGTGCCAAGCTGTGCCATGCCATGCCAAGCTGTGCCAGTGCCATGCCAAGCTGTGCTGTGCCATCCCGTGCCGTGCCGTGCTGAGCCATGCTGAGCCGTGCCACGCTGCGTTGTTCCGTGCCGTGCCACGCTGTGCCATGCGAAGCAACAGCAGAACAAAGGAGGGGGACGCGTGGCACCAAACTGATGCCTGGGCCCAGCCCTGCTCCTTGTCCCCAATAAACCCCCCCCTAGGCAGAGCCCCCCCAGCCACCAGCACCTGGCACCCCCCAGCCATGCCCCCTCTCCCCCCCCATCACCTCACTGCCCCCCTGGGCGCTGGTTTTTGCAGTGCCGGGGTCACCAGGCCTGTGCTGAGTCCCCGCTGCCGGTGGTGAGGGGCAGCCGGGGATGAGCCCCCCCCCTGAGCTGGGCTGCAGGCAGCGGGCGGGCAGCAGCCAGGCTGGCACCTGGCCCGGCAGGGGATTATCTGTGCCATGGATACGGGCTCCACGGGGACCTCCTGCACGCCCGGCTGGGGCTCCGGGTGGCACGGCACGGCACAGCACGGCACGGCATGGCACCGCGTGGCACCGCGTGGCTTGGCATGATGCTGCATGGCTTGGCATGGCTTGGCACGGTTCGGCACGGCACCGCATGGCTCTGTGTGGCTCTGTATGGCTCGGCACGGCTCGGCACAGCTTGGCACAGCCCCGCACGGCACGGCACAGCCCCATCTGGCTCACCTCCGGCAGCCCCACGCACCGCGTCCCACCACGAGCGGTGTCCCCCAGCGTCCCCAGCACGGCGCCAGCCTCTCCCCACCCACACCCCCATCCCCGTCCCCATCCCGTGCCACCGTCCCCACCCGGAAGGCAGAGAGTTAACGCGAGGGGCCCGGCGTGCTATAAATTTTGCATCCGAGTGTGGGGAGCCGGGGCGCGGGGGGAGGCTGGGAAGGAGCCAGTGGGCTGTCTCTAGGTAACAATAAACACTGCGAGCACGGAGCAGCTGTTACACTTACTCTCTCTGCATCACAATGCCGAAATAACGCTAATAAACCCACATGCGCGCGCATCCGCACACCCCAGGCTGGGGGGGGGGGAGCGGGAGGTGGGGTGTGTGGATGGACGGACGGACTGGACGGATGGATGGATGGATGGATGGATGGATGGGCACCGGGCACGGGGCTGAGACCCTCGGTGCAGGGCAGGGAGCCCCGAAGCCTCCCCGTGAGGCCTGGGAGATGCCGAAGCCAGCAGAAGCGTGGCCGTGGGGAGGTGCCCGGTGCCCACGCGGGGGCCTCCCGTGCCCACCCGGTGCCGGTGGTGGCCGTGGGGACACCACGGGTGGGAAGTGGCGGTCACCGCGTGTCCCCGCTCCGTGCGCTCGCCCCAGGGATCCTGCAACAAAGGCTCCGGCGCCGCACGGCACCGCGTGGCCGGGGGCTGGGTGGCACCACGGTGCTCCACGGGATGCCAGCACCAGCCCCATGCCAGGGCCATCCCCATCGCCCCCCCGCAGCAGGGACCCCACCTGGGGGGGGGTGTGTGGCTGTGTCAGGACCCCCCCAGCACCATCCTGCCCCCTGCACGCTGCCGGTGGCTTCGAGGGGTCGGGGCACGGTGCCCACCGCGTGGCACACCTCTGGGGCATGGGGTGTCTGGGGTGGGGGGGGACAGGGCTGTGCCCCCCCCCAGCAATGTGCAGGAGGGCAGGGGGCCTGGGGGGGCCGGGGCGGTGGCAGCGCTGCAGTTTGCATTCCAGCGCAGGAGGCAGCTGTGCCGCAACCCCGGCGCGGCCCCCCCAGCGGCACTAAATATTAATGCCTGCCCTACATTGCGCGGCGGCACCTGCCGCGGGCGAGCCGGGAGCCCCCCCAGGCCCCCCCGGCCCTCGCTGGCCAGGCAGCTGCCCCGGCCCCCCCAGGGGCTGTGCCAGAAGGTGCGGGGAGGGGGGGGGGGGCTGCGGCTGGGCCAGCTGTGCCCCCCTGCCCGGGCAGGGAGGAACAAAGCGAGGGCATGGGCATGGGGCAGGTGGGGGCAGCGGGGCACGGAGAGCATGGGGGGGGTCACACAGAGCCCCCCCCAGCTCCCAAAAGAAGCAGCAGTGACCCTGCAGCCCCCAGCCTGACCTGGGGGGCGCAGCGAGGGCCGGGGGGCAGCGGGGTGGTTGTGCGCTTTGCCAGCTCCAGCTGCTGGCGCTCACCACTCGCCCCCCCCTCAAGCCGCAGCTGAGGCCGTGCCGCTCATCACACGTGTGCCAGGCTGGGGGCCGTGCCCCCCCCTTTCCCCCCCCCCCAGGCCCTGGGCACCAGCCAAAAGTCCAGAGCCGAAAAGTGGCGGGTGATTGATGGCAGCGTTTGCCGGGTAAGCGCACCCCGCGGTCCAATCCTCCTACCTTCCCCAATTCCTCCCCTGTCCCTATTCAGAGATCATGTTGTCTCATGTTGGTCCCAGAGGCACCATTAATTAAAAATACATCCAATTAAATGGCAGGTGAAAGCGTGCAGGCGCGGGCCCTCCCCCCGCCCCCCCCCCCCGGCCGCCTGCCTCGGCTCAGCTGTGCGGCTTCGCAAGGGGGGGGGGCACCAAGAGGGGGCCAGGGTGCTGTGCCAGGCGCCTGCGCGGGGCTCGGCCAGCCCCGTCCCCGGTGTCCCCAAAGCCACCGGCTGCGCTTTGGGCCCCGACCCCGTGCAGGCACCTGGGGATGATGTGCGGGGTGGCAGGGACAGGAACAGCCCCAAAAGAGGTCTGGATTGGCAGGGGGACGTGGAGGTGGTGGCACAGCCATGTGGGCCTGGGGTGGCCGTGGGGACATGGGGACAGGGGGACACGGGGGACACAGGGGACAGGGGGACATGGGGACGTGTTGAAGGAACACCTTGGGGCTGCTGCCACGGCCAAGCTGGTGTCCTGCATGGGGGATGCAGGGACACGGGGGTGGGAGGATGTGGGGTGCGGGGGATAGGGGGATATGGGGATGGAGGCATGCAGGGATGCAGGAGGTGGGGATGAGGGGACGTAGGATATGGGGACGTTGGATATGGGGATATGGAGATGCAGGATATAGGAATATGGGGATTTGGGATTGCAGGATATGGGGATGGGGGGATGCAGGGATGCAGGATATGGGGATGCAGGATGTGGGGATATAGGATACGGGAATATGCGGATATTGGGATGTAGGAAATGGGGATGTGTGATATGGGGACGCAGGATATGGGGCTGCAGGGCTTTGGGGCCGGGCAGCGGTGCGGGCCAGGGCCCGGGGTGTGTGTGTGGGGGGGGGGGGGGGGGGGGGGCGGCCCGTGCCGGGGAAGCCCCCGGCTGCGCGCTCGGCTCCCGCTAATTGCAGATTTTAATCTCGGGCGCTTTCCGCTCGGGGTGCCGGCAGCAGGCACCAGCTGGGCGCGCCGCCGCTTTAATCAAGCTGCGGGCGGGGGGGCGCGGAGCCGGGCGGCCCCGGGGGGGGTGGGGGGGCGGGGGCTGGCTCCCCCCCCCCCCCCCCTTCCCCCCCTCCCTTCCCGGGCTCAGCCCCCCCCGGTTCAGCCGCCCCGCGCCCCGCACCGGCGGAGGGGAGGTTTTTTGGGGGGGTGGGACCATCCGGGGAGGGGGGGGCCCTGCCCTCCCCAAAGCCCCTCGGGGGGGGGTCCCCAACCCCGCGGCAGCGCGAGGTGGGAACAGATTTGGGGAGGAAGCGGCGGAGGCGCTGGAGAAGCCGCTTCGGTGCCCGAGCAGCTGCCAGCAAAAAGCGGCGGCTTTTTGGGGGGGGGTCCGGAGAGGGGGGGGGGGGGCGCGGGCAGGAGGCGGTGGCCGTGGGGACAGCGACACCTGGTGACGGCCGCGCGCGGCCCCGCGGGAGCGCGCGTGCACGGGAGGGAGCGCACGGACACGCCCGGAGCGCGGCGCGGGTGCGCGCGTGCAAAGGGCACGCACACACCCCCGTGGGTGCACGCGCAGGGGGGGGGGGTGCGCACGGGCACGCGCACGCGGGGGGTGTGCACGGACACGCAGGGGTGTGCGCGCGTGGAGGGCGTGCACACGCAGGGGGCGTGCGCACACACAGAGATGCAGGCAGGGTGCAAACACTGCACGTGGGTGCACGCGCGTGCAGGGGCGCACACGCACACGCACACTTATTCGGGGTGCACGTGCACACAGATGCACACGCAGGGTGCACACACACGCACGGTGCACACACATGGTGCACACGCACACACACTTATTCAGGGTGCACAAACATGCAGGGTGCACACACACATGCACACTTACTCCTGGTGCACGCACACGCACGGATCCACACCCCTGCAGGGTCCCCAGCCACGCACCCACCCCCCTGCACACACACACACACACACACGCTTGTGCATCCACGCACACGCATGCACTGATGTTCTACACCCCCCCCCGGGACACATCCTGGGGGTGTCAGAGCCCCCTTTCCTCCCCGTGGCACCCCCTGTGCACACTCACCACCAGCACAGCTCCGTGGCACAGCACCCACGCGTGGGCTCAGCCAAGAAACGTCAAAAAGGCAACCTGAAAAAAAGAAAAGAAAGAAAAAAACAACAAAAAAAAAGAGCCAAGACTCAGCAAAGAGCACGCGGAGGGACCGGGAGGCCACCGGGCGCCACCGAAAGCCCGGAGAGAGGTGGGGAAACTGAGGCACGGGGAAGGCGGCCCCCGGCGTTGGTGTAAAACCGGGAGATTTACAGCGCCGCACGGCCCCGAGCCATTTGGCACGGCAGCTGCTGCGAGGGAAGCTCAATGCAAAAAATAAATTAAATGGAAGCAAACGCTCTGGTCACCTTGGGATGGGGTTGATGCCGCAGGAGCAAGGGCGGGGAGGCAGCCAGCATCCAGCTGGGATTTAATCCCCCACTCGAAGGCTTCCTCGGCTTGCAACGGGGACGCCCCCGATAAGTTCCCCGTGGGGAGGACGTGGGGGTCGTGCTCGAATAGGACCAAGGCTGCTGAGACCTGCGACCAAAAGGGTTTGGCTCAGGGTGCTGAGACCACCCGGGGGGGGTCCTCTCGCTGCGCCCTGGGGGGGAGCAGCCCTGGGCAGGGCGCAGGAGGATGAGGATGATGAGGATGAGGATGGATGGGGCTGCCCGGCTCCCAGCTGCCCCGCTCATAAATCACGAGGAGGGCGGCCAGGTCCGGCTGCTGGCGAGCTCCCTCCTGCTTTTGGAGGCACAGCAAAGCGCGGCGCCTCCGCCCCCCCCCTCGCCATCTGCACGCGGATGTATTTTAAGAGGTGTCGGCGGCGGGGATGCTAAAGCAGGCGAGAGGAGAGCGAGAAACCGGGGCTGCAGCGGGAGACAAGAGGTGGGGGCTGCTGAGAAGGAGGCACGGGGGTGGCACGCGGACCCCCACCCTCTGGGGAGCCCCCGGACAAAGCCCGTGGCCCCCATGAGGATGCTGGAGCCAGCCCGGAGGAGCAGCAGCTCCCTGCCACCAGCCCTGCTCCTCCGCCCTCACACCAGGCCCCAGCTCAGCCCCCTGCCTGCACCCCTTAGGGTCCCCAAAAAGGGCCGGGGCCACAATGCCCCATGTTGGTGCCATCACTGGGGGGGGCAAACCACGGCCCCGAGCCCCTGCTGAGCACCCCATGAGCCAGGCTGCGGCTGGGGCTGCGCGGAGAAGCCCAGGGAGCGCCCGCTGCCACCCCAAAAATGGTGACACATCCGTCCCCAAGGGGCCTCGGAGCACCCAAGGGATGGGGCTGCCTCTGTCCCTGGGGGTTTGGGACCCCCCAGGGCTGCGTCTCTGCTCCTGGCCCCCCTGGGATCTGCTCAGCTCCGGGCTCTGACCCAGCAGCAGCCCCGGTGTCGCCCCCAGACCCCATCCACTGCTGGGGGGGCTCACGGACACCTTCAGGGGGGCACAACTGGGGGCTGAGCACCGCGACCACCCGGCCCCAGCCCCGTTCACTTACCAGCACCAGCACCAGGGAGCAGGATCGGGCACTGGGGTAGGGAAAGGCTTCGGGGGAACCGTGGTGCCCGCGCCACCCGGCAAGGCTACGGCGAGAAGGGGAATAATTCAAGGCAAGGGAGCACGAGGCGGTACAGTAACAGGAAATATTTAATTTTCCAATCTCCACTTTCCATTTTTATAAACTGAAAAGAAATTTATTTTTTTTTTTTAATATATTACAAAATATCTGTACAGAGACAAAGGTACAACCAAAAAAAGGCGCGCTCGGGGCTCGAAACGGAACTCGGGAGAGGTACAGAGAGAGCCCAGCCAGCCGCTTCCCCGCCGGGCACCGACCCCAACGCCATCAAATTCGGGAGGAGAGGCGGGGTGGGCTCCTCCAACAGCTTGTCTGCAAGCTGCATCGCTTCCTAAATCCTGTCAACGCATGTTTTCCCCCCCTCGGTAAATCCTTTTGTCTTCTTTGTACAGAGCCACTTCAAAAAAAAAAAAAGAAAAAAAGAAAAAGGGGATGCTGAGGCTGCAGGAGGGCGATTCCCCCCCCAGCTCTCCTGCACCATGGGGTGAAATTTGGGACCAAATCCTTGGCCCTGGCACCCGCAGCCTTTGCTCTGTCCTCGCAGGGACCGGGAGCTTGGTGGTGGGACCAGTTTGGAAGAGCCACTGGTGGAGGAGCCCCCAGCTCTGCCAGGGAGCGGCGAGAGCCACGGACCCGAACAAGGGACAGAAGTCCGGGATTTCTGTCCCCTGCTCGGGGCACAGAGGGCCAGGAGCCCACCTGGGGTCCCTGCTGCAAACCCAAGTGGCCCCGGAGCTGGGGCTGGGGCCTCATGGTGCCCCCCAGCCCCGGCATCGCCCCACGGGGAACAACCCCAAGCTCGACCCCAAAAGCTCACGGGGCCGTGCCAGGTCCTGGGGAGGCCGCTCCTGCCCTGCTGGGTTAAGGAAGGCTCCGTCCTCGTCGGGCTTTTCTGGGGAGAAGCCAAATTTGGAAAGATAATAAATAGGCATCCGCTTCCTAAGAGGATTCAGCCCTGGAACACGACTTTTCCTTCCAAATTGGATGGGCTCAGGAGGAAAAGGCAGAACAACAACAACAAAAGCTCCACCACGCACCAGCGCTGGCAGCTGCACGGTGGAGAGAAAAAAAAAATAAATTAAAAAAAAAAAAAAACAACTCTGGAGAGGTGACTGCTTTATTTAGCGCGCTCTGCATCTTACACAACTTCTCTTCAACCCCCCTCCCCCCCAGCATGTCAGGCATAAACTGGCAATTAAAAAAAAAATCAAAAAGCTGCCCCAAACCCCAGACCCACGCCGGGGATGCGCAGCAGGAGCCGCTCGCCCTTCCCGGCCGGGCGCATCGGGGGGAAAAAAGAAATAAAGCCAAAGGCTGCCGCAATGCCTGTGAACTCAACAACTCTGTTTTCCATAGGAAAGGCCTACTTGGAAAAAAAAACCTTATAAATATGTACCTCTGGTTTATTCGTCTCTTTTGCCAAAGTCTCATGGAAACGGGCACCGCAGCGCCCTGTGGGAGGAGGGGGCTCCCGGGAACACTTCCCCAACAAAAAGGTTTCTGCGGCCCCGAGCCGCTGCCCGCCCCACAGGCAGCCTCCTGGAGCCTCCCCACCACATTCGGCGTTGGTTTTGTTTTCAAACTTTAATTCTCTCAGCGGTTTGGAAGTCCTGACTGACAAAGAATCCGTATTTCTGTGTGAGGTGTTCGCTTCGGCTCTCGAGCATCTAAAAAAAAAGAAAAAAAAACAAAAAAAAAAACGCTTCCCACTGCAACTTTAGGGCAGGAGAGGTACAAAACTCAAAGAGACCCCTCCCGAAAGCCAATTTTCTAAGGCTACTGTCAGAAGAGAAGTGCCCCAGAGCCACCAGGGTCGGAACCTCAACGTGGAATCGAGCGAGGAAGGGGCTGGGTGGGAAGGAAGCGGGGTGGGGAGGTCTGAGTACAAGCCAGTGCCCCGTCCGGGCTGTCCACAGCCAAGACAACTGAGCCCAGTGTCCCTGCAGTGATATATTTCCATTTATTTATTCCTTTTGTTTTTTTTAAAGGGGATTGAAAACATCGCTTTGGGAAGCAGGCTCTCCCTCTGCCCCTACCTGCCCCCCCTGGCTTCTCCCTCTGAGAAGCGCCGCAGCCCAGCTTGCCAAATTCCTTTATTTCATTCCTCCGCCGCGGCTGGTTTGTCCCATTCCTCCTCTTTTTTCACTAGCTCCCCCCCCTCCTCTGCTGGCTCAGGGCAGAAACCTCACCGTGGTGGTATTTTTTTTTTTTTTTTGTCACTACCCAAGCACGAGAGGTTTTCCCAGCACGCCCCCAAAGCCAGGAGCAGGGGACGTCGCAGCAAGGAACGCAACGGGGAGCGCAGCCCAGCCCTGGCTCTTGGCCCAAATCTCACTCACGGCCACGAGGCGAGGCAGGGAGAGGTGAGGGCGAGAGGACGAGGATCAGTAGGGAACCCCTCGGCCCCGTCCCCCCCGTGGAGGCACCCGGCCGGGCCCGCGGTAAGCCTTGCCGTAGGGCGCAACCTGGCTGGGGGCACCCCATGCGTGTCCGGTTCCTGCCCCGCTGGCGGCGGCCGTCCCCGCGCCCAGCTCGCCGTAATTTTGGATTTTGGCCTCCGGGTGCAGCAGCGTGGTGGTGGTGGTGGTGGCGGCGGCGTTGTTGCTCCCCTCGGTTTTGGCAAAGGGTTGCCCGACCGAGTGTATGGCTACGGGGACTCGTGCGAAGCGGAGGTCCTGGTCCCCTGGGAACTGGACAGAGCCCATGCCCTGGTAACTGCTCGTCTCCCCGAGGTGGCTCACGGAGCCCAAAAAGGTCCTGCTTTTCCCCAGAGGCTGGGCAGAAGGTTCCAGCAGCGTCTGGCCCGAGTTCAGCTCCTCGGCCCCGAATCCCCCCTCGGAGCCCTCGGCGCTGTAAGTCCTGGACGAGTGGGACCTGCCGTAGTCCGCCGACCTGGAGGCCTGGTGCTCGTGCGCCGCGTGGCTCTGCGACTCTGCCTCTTGCTGGGAAAAAAGCTGCAGCAGAGCAGCCGTCACGGCTGGGTTCAGCTCCGGCGCCGCGTTGGAGAGGTCTCCTTCGGAGAGAGGCGGCAGCGGCGGCGGCGGTGGTCCGGGGGGCTCGGGGGGTCTCTTCTCTGGTGGGAGAATGCGAGGAGGACATGCTGTGGAAGGGTTACTCCTTTTAAACACCGTCTTAAAAAAGCACGCGAGCAGATATAAATACATTTCTACCAAAAGAAACAACAAAAAAAAAGAAAGCAAAGAGCCCTACAGCACGCCAGCCTGCTCTCCAGGATGCGCTGGAAGGGAGGCGGAGGATTTTAGGGGCTGGATCTCGCTGCAAGCCCAGCACACACCTCCCTTAAGGGCTCACCCGCGCTCCCACCCAGTCAGCAGCAGCTGCCCTAACACCTGGGCACCCGCAGAGGGAATTCCTGCTCCTCCATCAAAGGCTGAGGCAGGGAGGGAGACAGATGTGAGCCACGGACAGCCCGCGCTCCTCGGAAGCAGAGCCTCCTGCCCACAGGGACACCGGTGGCACACACGCGTGCCACCGAGCTGGTGAAGGGTTTAGAACAAAACCCAGCCCCAAAAAACAGCCCCAAAGCCAGCCCCGACCCCATCCCATGTCCTAGCCCCAGCACCAGCTCCTGACTGTGCCCAAACTGATGGGAAGGGGACAGCTGCCCCCAAGCTGTGTCCCCGGCCATGTCCCCTCTCTGCCTCCAGGGCTCCTTACCAGGGGCTTCCTGGCTTCTCCTGCTCCCCAACCCTTTTAAGAACTTCTCCAGCCTACAGCCCCAAACAATCTCAGCCCCCAACCATTTGCACAGCACAAACTGCCCTGCCACACGTGCAAGCCCGTCCCCTTTTCCCCTTTCCCCCCCTCCCGGCTCAGACCCGAAGCAACAAGCACTCCTATAGCCAAAGGATTCCTCCTGCTAAGAACAAAAGCACCCTCCTAGCACGCCCCCGCCGTCCCTGCTCCTGCTGCTTCACCTCCCTGAGCCTGCAGGAGAACAAAGCAGCCGGGTGAGGCGATGCGAGGAGCCCAGAGCAGAGCTCGAGCCCTGTCCTGCCAAGGCAGCCGCCTGCAGGACGCTCCAGTCCTGAGCCCTGCACTGCCTGCGTCTCACTCAGCACCAGGATGGGCTAGGTGGTGATTAAAAGCTCTTACTGGCGATGACACAAGAGGCCACGAAACGCCTTGCTCGAATCAGATCCTCAAATCATGTGCAAAAGTGGTTATTAAAAAGGTCAAACTTTATTGTGAAAACCAGTAGTCTTCCAGGACCACCCCTCCACCCGTATCCGTCAGTCCACTTTAAAACTAGATTGTATTGAAATCCAGAAAAAACAATCTTCAGGTAATTTTAAAGCCAAGCTGATTTGGGGACAGCATAGCATTTAAAATAATTATAAACAGAGAACAGCGTTATTTAATTGAATCTGCTCTACAATAACCTAATTAACTTCCAGTACTAGGGCAAAAAAAAAAAAAAAAAAGAAAAAAAAAAGCACGATCACAACTGGCTTGTGGTGGGCGGGTGTGTTGAAGGCACGAGAACACAGCACGTTCAGCTACATTGCAGAGGAGTTGTGTATCGGGCCAAAAGAGGCTCCCTGGAGAGTCTGAGACATACTCAGGAGGCGCTTCTAGAATTTGGTGAGGTCGTCACAGGATGTTGCTAATAATTCAAAAAATCAACAGAAAAAAAAAAAAAAAGACATGGAGACATTTACACTCACCTCTGAGAAGGAAATCCAAGAGATCACTGATACAGTAGGTCTTTAAACATGCCTCTTACTCGCTCTACAAGGACCAGCCGTGCGGCTCAACCTCAGAAGCTGCTGAATTTCAGTGCTCGTCCGAGTCAGACCGGGACGTACGGACCAGGCAGGCTGAAGCTGGATGCACAGCGTGTGCAGAATGGCTACCAGCCTCCCGTTTCAGCACTCTCCAATATTTCAGTTCTCATGCTATATTTACAATCCTCTCTGCGCTTTTTTTTTTTTTTGATTTTTTGGGTTTTGTTTCTCGAGTGGGCAGGAAAGCAGGACGGGGACGGTGCAAAAATAGCTGGGCTAAGTAAGACAGGGAAATCTGCACGGCTGCAGATCCAACGCCCCGTGCAAAAAAACTACCTGAGTGTGTAAACCCAGTGTGGAATAACAGCAACTAATGACAGGGTGCAGACTAGCAGCTGCTAGGAGTATCAGAGGAAGAACTGACCTGCCACAAGCTTCCCCTTTCATTTTGTTTTTGTTTTTTTTTAGGGAAAAAGCAAAGCCTTTCATCTTCACTGACCCACTCACAGTGGGGTATTATGGGGTTTTCGTGTTTTTGGAGACCTGAAGCAGACCAGTAGGTGTGTTTTGGCTCTTTGCAGTTGGTAAAAACCTCCTGAGCAGCCCAGTGCTTACCGCAGGGAGTGGGTCAGTGTCTGTCTTTGGAAATCTGCTGCTTGCCCACCACATCCTAGCCCCCAGCTCCTCCCATCCTCACCCCCTGCCCTGCTTCACGAGCCTCCCATCTGACACAATCCTCCTAACATCTCGGTTCCTCCCGGGCAGTTAAACTACAGAGCCTTCCATACGAGTGCCTAATTGTTCAAACAAGTGAACGGCCTCCCAAGATGCACAGGCTACGGTCGTGAGTATTTACCTGTGCTTTCCTCCGGATGCACTGTCGGGGTTTTCCTTGGCCCCCGCTGCTCGCTGCTTTTCTCCCCTTTGCTCTCCTCCAGGGTTATGACAGGCTCCTGGCTCTTCATCAGCTGGCTGAGCAGAACGGCCAGCACGTTCTGCATTTCTCCCTGAGCACCGGCTGCTTCTGGAGTCACCTGCTCCTCCAGTGGCTGGGCCTCCGTGGGTGGCTCTTCTATGGCTTCCTCTGCTGCTGCTGCCGCCGCCGCCGCCTGAGACTCCTGCTGCTGCGTGGTGGCTTCCGTCAGAGCGTTGATGGACTGGTTGAGAGCCTCCAGCTGCTGCTGCATCTCTGGGTTCGAGTGTACGTTTAACAGCTGGGCCATCTGGGGGACGCTCAGATCAGTCTGGCTCTGCAGCAAGTTCAGCAGAACAGCGAGCTCGCTCTGATTCAGCTGCTGGGTGATGTCTCCGAGGCCTGCAGGAAACACGAGAAGCATCACAGAAAGGTCAGGGGAAATCTCACCACTCAGTAATCGTGGCGCTGCACCAGCCGACACCTTCTCCATGGGCCGGGGAAGGCGTGGAATCCTCCTCCTGGAGCTGGTGAGATTGTTTGCTCAGGTTTCCCCATCAACGAGCCCCCTGCAGCCTGCGCTGGGCTCGGTGCAGCGCTGCAGCAGCACCCCGTGGCACTGCTCACACACTGCACTCACCCACGGCTGCAGCTCTGCTCTGTTAGGAAGAGGGAGGCTTTGTCAGCGCCCAAACCTCACAGAACCACACGTGGCTGCTTGTTAACATCAGCTCAGCCAAATCTGACCCCGCCGTAAACTAACCCAGGTCATCCCAAAATCACAGCACCTACACCTCTGGTCGTGGCAGCAAGCCACGATGTGGGATGCCAAGATGTGGGATTGAGACCTGAGCCCGTTTCAGTGGTGATTAGGGTAGCAAATGAGGGCAGTCAGCTCCTCCCGAGGCCCTTGCAGCACTCCGTGGCCCAGGAGCACTCCCTCCTGCACTCGAAAGCAGGTTTCCTGGGCCAGGGCTAAGCTGCTGTTTGGGCTGGAAGAAGGGCGTGTTCCGCTGATGCAGCCAAATAAATGAGGTCAAGCTGAAAGCGATTCCTCACGAAAAGCTGGCCTGGGATCAGAGGGCTCCGTCCTGAGCTGTGAGTTTGTCTGAAATGCCTCCTCTAAATGGCATCACCTCCCTCTGCACCACGCAGGACCAGAGCCCTCTGAGTGACACGGGTGTCCCTTTCACACCGACCCTGCAAGCCAAGCTCCTTGGCAAGCACGGTGTGCTGGGTTGGTTTTAGAAGCTTAAAATTAATCTTCCCTTACAAATTCAGCTTCCCTTCCTGGTGCACAACCCATGCCCTGCCACTCGCTCCTCTCTGTTAATCCAAGCAGCACCTTTGGTCCATCTGCCATGTTTCAGCGAACACATGGGTTGTGTTCCCTCGAGCAAGAGCTGTCTTCCTCGCTACTTGTCTGTTCAACATTTGACACAAAGGAATCTTCAGCCCGCATATGGGTTTTCCTCAGGCTTCTAGAGAACAATCGGAATGGTCTGGGCAGCTCTGTGCATCTCCACATTCCTGGAATCAACATCCCTCCCCTCCAACTATTTTTGGGACACCAGAAGGTTGAAGGCGTTTTGGTCACAGTGCACAAGTCCCAGTCCTGGGAGTCTTTAAGACCAGAGGATCTTTTCTCTAAGGAATAACGCTCAATAATAGACATTTTTGCCCGCCAACCCCTAGTCTGTTATCTCCCATGCCTAAGCTTTATCTAATTTGATCAGCAGGATCAGACTCCAGCTCATTTGCACGCTCGTTAGATGGCTGCTCCTGCCAGCCTGGTATCTGTTACTCTGCTGGCCAGGGTGACTCCAGGATTCCTCACATTATTCTTTGTGAAAGCGGGCTTAGGAGCTGATAATGTAACTCTGACTTCTGAAGACCAGCCAGAATGCTCTGTAGCCAACGAGCAAACAAAAAAAACAAACAAAAAAAAACCAAACAGGAAGATTCTGGAATGCCCCTTGTGTAGAAATGGAGGTAAAAGAATGAGGTTGGCTTGAAGAGACTCAAGCAGCCCAGATCCAGGGGAAACCGCAGACAGAGGGAAGGCAAGGTATCAAGAGGAGCCCTTCACAGGCCAGACGAGGCACTGACCTACTGCATCTCCAACGCCAGGCTCTGTTTTGAGCTGGGCAGGCTGTGAGTGCACAGGACTGCTGTTGTTTTTGACAGTGTCTGTGCTTGTAACAGAGGTAGTTTCTTTCCGAGAAACTTTTGATAACGGTGGCTCCTCCACTGCGATCCCGCTCTGCCGCTGCCGCCGTCGCTTCTTGCTCCACAGCTCGTGGCAGTCCTGCCAGTGGGGAAGGCTGGAAGAGAACAAGACTCGGCAGGTAAGAAACACGGCACCAAAAAAAACTAACAAACAACATTTGAAGACCACAGAAAACTATTAGTGCCATCAGAGAAGCAGGGATGTTCCTCTGACTGCAGCCCTACCATTAAACCCAGAAGGGCTGAGTGCTAGAACCAGGAAAGGCAGCTCAATTTCCTGTGAATCAGGTAATCTGCACTGAGAATCTGCTCCTGAATGGAGTGGGGTTGCTACAGTACACACACACCCATCGTGAGCAAACTTACACCCAGCTCTGTGAGCACAGTGGCTTTAAGAAAGCAGCTCGTTTCACTAACTCTGAAGGAAGGGGAACCTCAGAAGCCACTTGCTGTACTCGCATGCAAAGTAGCTAGAGCAGAATTTTATAGTCTGCCTAATTGGGGTGGGAGAAAAGAGCTGCAAACAGCACTGCTGAGCTGTGTTCACTCTCCTAGCCAACTAACAAGCCGTATAAACACGGCCTGGCCTCGATGGCACAGAGGACAGGGGTTTACTATGTGCTGCTCTCACATCTCCCAAGTTTTAGAGCACCTTACGAGCATTACGCTGAGCTTTATAAAACCAGCCCCAGTTTCAGGCAAAAATGAAGAGACCACACGAGCTGTCTGCTCAGCCATCTCCAAATCCAGGGGCAGAGCTGAGAAACGAATCCAGAAATCCTAACTTGATTCTGAGGGAAAAACCAAGACCAAGCCGGTGACTCCTTCCCAAAGCTCGTTAGCAGAGCCCACCACCAGGGAGGATGCCAGCTGGAACTTACTCTGGGGGTGCCATTTTGCTCAGGTCAACATCCTTCAGGAAGTCACTCTGCAGGGCCTGTTCTGCTGTGCAGCGCTTGCCAGGGTCTAGCGTCAGCATGTGGTCCAGCAGGTCGAGAGCAGACGAGGGAATGCTGCACAGAGTTGGAAACACGGCTGAGTTAAGGGGTTGTTGTGAACTGGGGGAGCTGCCAGCTTCCAGAGAGCCACCTCCCGCCCAGGAGAAGTCTGTACGGTCAGATTTTTATTACTAAGGGATGCACAGCTCAAGGACATCGTGACAGGAAACAGATCCACAGTATTTTTAGCCTCATTTTTCCCATTTAGGAAGCGCAGCCCTGCCACAAGTCCCACAAGCTTATCACACGATTATCCTCTCCCCCCAGAGAGCACATCTCTGAAGTCACACAGCCTCAGCACCGGGAGAATGCCACGCTGCCAGGCGTGACTTCCAGATACGGACAGACAAGGCAAGACCCAGCTCAAAGTGTCCCACGTGCACAGAGGCAGGGAGTCCCTCTGGAAAGCATGTGGCAGATCAGCTGTTTAGTGGACAGTGAGCCCCTTCCAGCCTTCCACAGGTGGGAGAAGCCCTCATGGCTGCCTGAGGATGCAGGATAAGCACGGGAAGCACTGCTCTACCCTGCCAGGTACCCTACAGCCGAGGGATGGATCTGTCCCACAAGGTAACATGTGGCTGTAACCCCCACACTTATCCTCTCCTGGGTGGCAACTCACAAGGAGAACTCCTCACGCAGGCGCCTTCGGTATTGCTTCTTGGGTTTCATAGTGTTGAAGTAGGGCAACTTGATGACATCTGGCCACACTGCTGGACAGGGGCTCCCACAGAGGCGGCTGAGAAGCAGAAAAGCAGAGTAAAATCAGCAGGTGAAACGCAGCAAGAAGCAGAAGTGTCACTGAATCAAGTGACGACATTTCCTTTCTAAGCAGCTCGGCACACCAACAGCCCAGGTCTGTGCACACTTTGACAAGGATTAGATAAACAACAGGTTAAAAAGATGGAACCAGGAAGAAGAAAAATGCTTACTTGAGTTTATAAAGCATTCAACAGAATGAATTTTCAGTGAGATGTAATTTAAGGTCATGATTTTTGCACTCAGCTAACTACAGCAAAGTTTACCGAGGGTGCATACGTTAGTGGCCAGACACTCGATAGTAGGAATGGACACCCAGATGCTTAACTATTCACTGTTGCAGTTACAGTCATTTACTGATCCTTTTTTGCAGGCAGATTAGAGAGAGAGGGCTCTTATAATACAGCGACTATGTGCACGAGCAGTTTCTGCAGTACCTCTTCTCATAGGCATGCATGTGCAATGCTTTACCTGATTAATTCAAGCTGAGCCAGTTCCAGATTGGCTTGAAAAATAGGCTTCTTTGTAAACAGTTCCCCGAGGATACAGCTGGAAAGAGGAAAAGCAAGAGGTCACGACAGCAAACCCTTGGGACGATCGTTTGAACACTGCAGCATTTCTGTTCAGCAGCAGGTTTGCCTAAGGAGAGTTATTTGCATCGGGGCTTGTAGTTGAGGACTGACAAACTAACCTACATGTACAGTCACCAATTCCATGCAGCTGGGAAATAACACTCACTAGTCTGGTTAACACATCACGGGCTTCACACTAACTCTTTGCAGGGAGAGTAGGATGTGCCAACAGCTCAGTAAGAAAAACAGGCAGGCATCTTCTTCCTCCATTTCAGCCCAATTATCCTTCCAACTTCACTGCTACAATTTGGGGGATATCTGCGGGCCCAAATATCCTCAGCTGCCAGGAGCCTGCTGTTTGTCACGGCCAAGCACAGAATACAGACACAGAACGCGCACACGGCACTTGTACAGCTGGAAGGGAAAGGAGAGGGGGCAGCTCTGGCTCAGTCAGTCCTTAACATCTACCCTGAAGCCTTCTGCTAGGAATGACAATCAGTGCCAAATATAGCAGCAGACTGATAGAGGCACCTGTCTGCTGGCGCGGGGCTGACCCCACTCATTTGGCACAGGACTCCGAATAGCAACTGGACTTCATGGCCAAAGTTTCCAGAAGTAATTAGGAGGGCCTGCCTTTTACAATGCCTTTGTTGTTGCGTACTAAGTTCCACTAAAAGTTTACCCACGTATATCACAATGGGATGCACACACTTCAGCAAATCCAGTCCCACTTCTAAACGTCAAATCCTCAAGATTTTGGTTCCGAATCACTTGGAAGAGTTTTTATCTTTGCGGCTAAACTGCCCAAAGGTAGCATTAGTTAGGGGACAGCCACCTATTTACTTAAAGCACAGAATTTTGGAAGTATTCCTATACTATGACAGCACTCTCTGCCTAGCTGGAGCAGATTTTCAGAGATTAGCACAAGTCAGAGGCTACCTTCCATCAGAACCTCCCCGTTCACATGATGTGCCCAGCCCAAAGAGGACAGAAGATACAAGCCAGGCACTTACCCACAGCTCCACACATCTATGGCCGGCGTGTAACGCTCCTCACCTAGCAGCAATTCTGGAGGTCGATACCATAACGTAATGACTTTATTTGTGTATGGACGGCTGGAATGGAAACAAACATAAATTGACATCGAGAACCATAAAACCCTTGCAAAGGGTAATTATTAATTCCAAAGCGTAGAGTTAGGCATGAAAGTAGAAGTAGAGGGCCTTCAAGTGCCCAGACTTTCAGAGCACCTGACTGAGTTAAATAGAGCTGCTGAGATATCACAGCTTTTATAAGCTTGCCTAAATGCACCAGGCAGTGGGTTGTAGGTACTCAAGACTGAAAAATCCTGACCTGCAAGAGGCAGCAGCACGCTGCCACAAGTGAATAGTGACCGACCTCAATAGCTCAGAGGAAAATGTGGTCCAAGGCAGGCAGAGATGTTTCAGTTCCTCATGGGTGTGTCTAATGGGAGGCTATTAATACCAGCCAGGAGGATTTTCTCCTGACAGCTGGAACTGTGTTATACCACTTACACCATGCTGGAAATCATTTCTCAGGCAATGCCAGGGCTTCCAAGTGAAGGGACTACGCGAGTATCAAGAACAAAGGAACTCATCCCACCTAGGTAAGTCATTTCCCTTCTCCTCTACCCCCAGCCTCACCTCTCCTCCGAGCTGTAGAGTCGGGCGAGTCCAAAATCTGCAAGTTTGATTTGCCCACTGAAAGACAAAAACATTCACTGGTTTGAACTGAGCTGGGCTCACGTGCTGCAAGCAGTAAAAGGGAAGGAAATCTCTCCAGGTAGCAGAAAGGCCTAGCCAAGCAGTATTTCCAGCAATTACTTCTGGCTCTATCAGTCTTAGTTTTTCAGACCCCATTTCATGTTTAAAAGAAACGAAAAGTAGTAATTCAATCCTATTTCTCTCACCATCCCAACAGGTCAATGTCTCAGAAATTTTTATATGACAACCAGACACGCAGATGCTATGTGCAGTACCATTCTCACAGGTTCAAAGTTTTCTAAGGGTATCCAGACAACAACTTGATAATTAACAGCAAATGAATAACTAATGTATTCTGCAACAGACTGTGTTACTGCCAAACACTATCTGGAGAAGAGAGAATTCAGGGAGAGCTGCTGCTTTTGACCTTAACCCTCAATGGTTTCCCTGCATACCAGCACTTCCAATAAACGGTATTTCTGCCAAAACGCCATGGAGACCAAGGGCACAGGGAAATCCATTTAATTTAAGCTGACACAAAAGAAACTTAACTACAAGAAGCTGCAAAACAGCGAGCAGAGGGTCTGATGTGGAGAGACTGCTACTGGCAGCACGTTACATGGAAGGCTCTTAGGGCTGCTCCCCCTTGCAGAAGGAGCTGTGTTCCCAGCCAGCTGCAGCTCCCACAAAAGCTAACAATTGGTGGAAACATGCAGGGCTGTATTCTTACAGGGGTTCAACACCTCCTATTCCTAAGCTTCCTCAAAGCGAAGACAACGACTGAGTGCTTTCAGCTGAACCCAGGGAGAATGCAGGGAAAGGAACTTGCAAAGAACCGTGCCGACTGCCAGGTTACCTGTTGTTCAGTAAGATGTTGGAGCACTTGATATCTCGATGAAGGAAATTCTTTTTGTGACAGTAATCCAGACCTTCCATTAACTGTTTCATGAAAGACTTGATATGGTCCTCTGAGAAATGTACCAAGCCAGATTCTAGCAGCCCCATTAAGTCATGGTCCATGTACTCAAACACAAGGTAAAAGGCACCTGGTAAAATAAAGAGGAATGATTAATGTGTTTTCAAGCTGAACATTTGAAATCCGGATGTCCAAATTCTGAACAAATCAGTTACCTCTGAAATAGCCATGTTTACCCACCCATTTTTTATTTTTAAAGTTACTTTGATGAAAAGTATTCTGCTATGCACGCCTTGAACTGGTGCTTCTGTTGTCCCCGTTTCTCATGATGGGGACAGTCCACAAACAAACCAAAGCAGGTGGGATGCTGTTGCACCATTCTTCCACGGTGGCAGAGGACAGAAAGCTTTCCACACTGTTGGTGAGTTACCAGCACTAATCAGTGTTAAGTGACCCCATATAGGCTTTTTTTTCCCCAAAAATTGCTTCTCTGACCCTACAGGAAAAAATGCAATGCATCCTTTTAAGCCTGCTTCTACCTCTGCACTGCAACAACGCACGGTAACCAGGATCTATCCTTTGATGTAAGGCCAAATCTGGACACTGAACTTGCTGGAAATGGGCACTGAGGAGGAATGCAACAACAACAAAATCTACAAACACCAGGATTTTAATTTCACACTAACAAACAAACGACGTTGCAACACCTCTTCGGCTAATTGCAGCCACACCCTGCAGCAAACACTACCTTTGTCCTTCTTGAAATCCAGTGCATCTTGTTTGTCCGTGACAATTTCCTTCATGTTAACAACACTGCGATGGATCAGCTGCCGAAGAATTTTGATCTCGCGGATGGCTGTGATGGGGAAGCCTTCCTTTTCATTGTCCAGTCGCACCTTCTTGAGAGCCACCAATTCACCTGCCAGAACACGGCAGCGTTAAAGCCTCTGCACAGATCCCTGCTAACAACTCTGAGCTTGCAGCAGGACGCTGAGCATCACTACAGGCAGGGCCAGCATCCACTCAGACACAGCAGAGCTGCTTTAGTTACCACCCCACTATTTTCTGCTAGCAAAGCTCTGTCAAAAGTTATCACACCAACACAAGACAGATGACACCGGGGCTCCTCCTAGTTTGCTTTAGTGGAAAATCAGACAGGTGAACTCAAATTACCCCAGAAACAGCTCCAGTCCCTTTCACGAGCTCTGCTACAATAAAACCTGACAAGGCTTCAGCTGGCATCTATGGCTGCCACGGTTGTGCACACTGGATACACAATTCCAGGAGCAGAGAGGGCAGCTGGGCACTCAGCAGCACTGCAGAGCCTGGAAAGATCTTTACCTGTATCCTTGTCCTTGGCTTTGTACACCTGCCCATACGTCCCTTCTCCAATAATCCCGATGATGTCAAACTTGTCCACGCAACGCTTCCCCCAGTCGCTTTCTGTCTGCCTCCTTTCCCCATATCGAGGACAACAGATTCTGAAAGAGGCAAGAGGACTGTCAGACAGCTGAGTGCACCTCACCCCTCAGACACCCCCGTTCAACCGTTTGGGGCTATACCCTAAAGAATAGCAGAATTTGTCTGTGCTCTCATATGCTGAGTGTACATTTAAGAGTTTAATGGATTATGCTACGTGATCTCAGCTCTCCAGATCCAGGCACTGTCATACAGGGAGAAAATCCTACTCCAGAGACTGAGGCACCCCAGCCAGAACACTCTCAGGATCAGATCTTCCCCCTTTTTCTCCTCTTGAGGAAATAAGGAGTACAAAGCAGCGTGGAGATGACGAGCAAAGTGGCTAGCACACCACCTTAAATCCCCAGACTTTGAGGTGGCAGAACCACTCTGCTACCGCCTTCCTGGGGCACGCAGGTTACTACACAGACCTCATTACAGGCTTTAACAGAGTAGCTTGAAGAACCAAAGCCTTATCTTTATCTAACAACTATCAAAGAATGACATTACAGTAAGACAAAATTATTATTTGGAACTTTTGTTTCAAATAAAACCCAAATTTCCAGTGTTTATACGAAGTGCAGCTAGCACCTTGCACAAAAATTACCAGGGGAGCTTGCTGTCTCGACAGCTACATTAATTTTGCTGCCAAGGGGAGTCGTGTGTGCCCTGCACACAGTCAGCTCCTCTAGGAGCTCCAGTGTGCACCACAGCACTACCGTAAAGCTTTGGAAACCCAGGCTGACATCTCTGAAGAAATACAAAACCTAACAACCAGAAAGAGCTGAAAAAAAAAGAAAGAAAGCCTTACTTTGGTCTCTTCTTGAAGGGTTGCTGAGGTGGTGTGGCTGCCTTTGGTTCCGGGGAGTCGGGAGGAGATGGATCCCCCCCAGGGAGCTCTGGAGGGAGCGGGAGGTCCGTGAGTAAGTGTCGTGGTCTCTGCTCTCTATCTTTCTTCACAGGTTTTGGAGGAAGAATCTCTTTTGGACTAAACTCCGAAAAGTTAATACAACACAGGAATCAGACTTAACAGCCAATCAACAAACAAACAAAAATTCTACCGTAGGACTAAAGCTGTCTATTTGAGAGCATAAAGCTAGGAGCCTAAGTTCAAGTGCCCAAATTAGCATAGCCACGTATAAAACTGGAAAACAGCCTTAAATTTCACAACGATAAGAAGTCAGGAAACGAGCGTTACGTTGGAATGCATCATCTTCTAATAAACACGCGGCTCTCCGCAGCCAGCACTTGCTCAACGTGCACAAATAACTGCTGCTTCTGGAGTTCCTGCCCAACTGCTCAGGTTATCAGCCAGCACCGCCTTCCGACCTCACTTCCTCTCTCTCGTCCATTTACTGCCCTGAAATTCAACGCATGACTTGGCCGGGATCGCTATAAATACCAACCCAGAACCACGTCTCTGAACTTCTTAGCAAGGACTGACACACGGCTCTAACTTCTGCTGAGAAACCAGAAGTTAACTTTTTTTTTTTTTGGGTAGTTAAATTATCAATGGCATCAGAAGCTCATTCATGTACATCTCTTGTGTGTGTACACGGCAGGAAGAACTCCTAGGGCTGAGTTGGCAGAACTCTCCTACACACAAATCTGTTTCACCAGGCAAAACAAGACTGAGAGGTAGGAACCACCTCCCAAGGTTCATTTTTTTTGGGTGGCCAGCAGGAGGTTTGCAGTTTGTCAGCATCAGCAGGTCCAGTGCTCATCAGCACAGACATCTCCGCTGAGATGAACGCTTGGGAGCGGGTCGTTTGTCTGATTTTCCTCCCAGACACTGCCCAAATAACAGGAAAAGCTCTCGTGAAATACAGTCAAGATACAAGCGAGGCAAAGCAAGGCACTGTCCTGGCACTGAGGTGTGTTCTGTAAAGGAACGGGGCAGCAATCAGCCGTCCCCTGCTACAGAAGCCACCACGAGTCCCAGCAGCCAGGTCTCCGGAGGAAAATCATTGAAAGGTGCTGCCAGGAGGAGGAAAATCAAGAAAGATCCGAAAAACAACTGGAGCAGGAGAGCCATGTGTGCTGCAGCTCCATCCCCGTTAGCTGGCAATGCAGAACGGTCCCCAGGGAGGCGACCTCAAAGCAGGAGGACCCCCAGAGGAGGTTCTGCAGGGCAGCAGCCAGGAGGCCAAGCCCTTCGCAGCCCCCCCACGTGTGCTGTCACGCTGCCCTGGCCTTACAGACCCTCACCGGGACAAGAAGGCAGCTCCTCATCTGACTGCACGTTTAATCCCCCTCTAACCGGCAGCTGTTTGCTTCTGATGCTGTACAAATACCTACTGCTACACGCCCTCTGACCCTGCCAAGATCTCAGCCTCTTTCCAGAGGCACGAACAGCAATTTCTTCAAAAGATTTCCCTGGGAAGGGCACAGCTGTGCCTGTGGGCTCCAGCCACTGGTGGCCAGCCTCAGCTCCCTTCCCTCACCCTCAGCCCCTTGGTGAGGCTCTCTGTTAGCTTACAGCTGCTCATCTCAGTGCTACGAGGTGGCTGCTGGAACTTTAATTACCACCAGGACATTTGGGCTTCTCACCCGGCACTGAGAAGGCTGAACGGACACTTCAGAGCTGCCCAAGCATCAAGGTGACAAAATCCAAAAGCCAGCCCCTGACAAAGGCTCCCAGAAGCTACCTCCTGTCCTCCCCACCCCCAGACAGCACAAACGCCATCAGTCGGGGCTGTGTTTTTAACTATCAGTGCTGTGAAGTCAGCCAGAGGCTCCCAAAAACCCGTGCAAGCTAAAGGAGCTGGTGCAACACCAGAGGTGATGTCTGTACCACCTGGTTCTTGTCTCTGCCCTCCTGCTGCTCCGCTAGGTGAGGAAGGAGAGGGGACCCATGGCACACCCCAACTGCAGGGCAGCCAAAAGGCTGGAGAGACTGGAAAGTCTCTAATTGAAGGGGCTGCACTTTGTACTGGGGTGCTTCAAAGCTTGTTTCTCAGCAGGGCCTCAGAGCAGAAGTGTTTTCCACTCCAAGCATGTGAAAACAAGAGTTAAAAACTTCTGCTCCTAAGAATGAGGCTGAGGAAGAGCGAACTTCTGCAGCAGGCGGTGCCGTACGCACCTCCCGCTGGCCTCAGCAGATCAAGGGGACTTTCCCCATCCTCTTACTGGCAAAAAGTCCCCGAATCCATTCCCTGAGCTAACGGCCAGCCCTGCCATCGTCTACCCTCCTGAGTTCATGCTGACAGCAGGCAGGAACCTGAGCCACTTCCATGACCCTGAGCCACTCCTGGGCAGGGAAAAGGAGCTCGAGGCTGAGAATAAAACACGCGGTGTTCGCAGAGCCCTTTTTGTGGCTGGAAACAGGGGAACACAGCAGCAGGATCCTGCTGAGGCATGCATTTGAGCTGAAAAAGTCTGGAATCTATTAAAAGCTACTGCTCATCCCAGGTGTGTTTAAATTAAACAGGTATTTGCTGAGCAACGTCACACCGCTGAGGAAGGGCAACGTGAACAGGCACGAGTTTAACTTCTGCCTTGATAGCAGGGACAGCACTGCCCTCATTTACACCAGCACCAGGATAACCCATGAAAAATCAATGAAATTAATCAGAATTTTCGTGTTCACTCACAACGCAGGATAATTAGAGCAAATCTTAACTATCACGTAACGCCCTCCTTGCTAAAATCATGCAGCACTAACAAATGAGACACCAAAAACATCTTCAGCAGTGGCCGGAGACACTGAAGTTGTTAGCAGAACTCCAGGCCAGGCAGGAAAATATCAGGAGCGACCTTTTCTTTTCTTTCTACTTCCACTTCAGGTGTTTGGGAGGGTTCCCCTCCTCTCCTGCATGCTACAGCTGTGAATGTTACAGCTTCAGAGCTGATCTCAGGAGACTAGCCCTCAGACACTAATATAAATATATATTTAAGACAAAAAAGCTGAAGTTAGGTGCACTTTTACAGTTTTCAAACAAGCCATGCCTCCGCAGTGGTTAATAAATACATCACTGCTCAGGTAGCTGAGAGTTACACCAAACCCATGGCATTTCTTTGCGTGTGGGCACTGTGTGTTCGGTGAAATTTGGAAGAGGCACAGCTCTGCTTCGTGCTCCTACACTGGAATTGTTGGCTCCTTCCTGTTACTACGCACAGGTTTGAGAGAAATCAAGTTTAAAAGCAGCTTCACAGCAAGTCTGTGCAAATGGCTGCAACACCAGAGTGCATAATGCTAGATCTGTGTTTCATTACTATGAAAAATATAAACAAAGTGCAAATTTTTGCTAGCCAGCATGAAAACAGAAGCCAAGCCCCTGCTCCTCACTGCGACCGCGCGTAACGACCTGCACAGGACCACGAGAGGCTCCGCAGAGAGCTGAGGAGCCAGAAGCAGGAATGGCCCAGCAGCAGGGAATCCTTACACGCGGCTCGGTCTTCAACAGACCCTGCAGGGTGAGCTGGGGACTGTCAGCCCACCCAGAGCCACCAGGAACCTGCCTGCTGGCAAACGCAACGAGGACGCTCCGTGGGACCTTACCTATCCAAGTCATCTTCCCCAACTAAAAGAGGGGGGAGCGGAAGCGGAGGCAACGTTGAAGTTTTCAGGTGCGGGATAGCAGCCGTCACAGACACTTGTGGTTTTGTAGCGACTTGGACAGAGGACTGGGAGTTCACCTGAGAGGATAAAGTAGACGTCCTTGGGTGGGAAGAAGATGGCAAAGACGTTGGGACCGAAGGAGGGACCTGAACGGGAGTCTGTTGGGATGGTGGCAAAGGCGGGACGGCGGGTGACGGAGGCAAAGGTGGCAAGGGTGGAGTTGGAGGGGGCGGTGTGGTTGTCGGCAGAGGGGGAGGAGGTGATTTGATGGAAGGGAGCGGGGGTGGGATCTCCTTCTCTGCCGTGTCCGGCTCTTTTGGAGACCGAAGGTCCTCGGCCGCTGCTACAGGCTTTGAGTCTTTTGTTCCCGGCTGTTTCGAATCTCTGACTGGAGCAGGATGCTTCCTCTCCGAGTTCTCCTCCGCCTTGACTTTTGTTGTCTCTGCAGGTGCTTTAGGCTCTGCGTTTGTACACGGTAAGTTCACTAGCTCCGTATCTGAAGAAGATTTTTCAGATTTAACAGTTTTGGCGACCTTTTTAGGTTCCGTCCCAGGCTCCTTCAGGTCAGCCAAGCTGTTCTCCTTCCTAGCCAGGAAAACCGGCGAGCCCTTTGCCTCCTTTCCATCCACCTTGGCGGCAGCTGCCGCCGCTGCCGCCCGCTCCTTTTTCTTCCTGCTGAGCTCTGCCCCCAGGCTGGAGTTGAGCGGCAGCCTGGTGGGCGAGATGCTGGAATGGCGGCTGCGCGACCCAGACCTCTGCTTCTTGCTGTGAGATGAGTGCCTGGAGTAGCCGGGGCTTCGGCTTCGGGACTTCACGGATTTCCTGCGGACAGAAGAGGGAGATAGGTGAAAAAGCATCTCGGAGCCTCCGAGCTACTCACCAACAGCCTCAGCTCTCTGGGAACACCGCGAGTCCGTTATTTCCCGTTTATTTCCTCCAGGCAGGCTGTTATACCTGGCAGGAGAGACCGAAGACACCCAAACGAGTTCATGAGGACGAGCTTCAGGTCGCCACCCAGCCTGCAGCGCCCCTACAAAGCACGCTGCTAAGATGGGTGAAGGAGGGAGACCGCAGGAGCCCCCAGGTAAAGGTGAGATCTGAGATCGATGCACGTCCTGAACAGAAACTCGAGTCCAGACCATCAGCTGGCAGCACACGAGTGTTTCACAGTAATTACGTACAGCTTCAGAGGAAACAACAGATAAAATATGTGCCCTCCCGGGAACGCCACCTCAGGACACATCTCGCTTCAAGCTAGTTTTTCCCCTGGTTCTTTTGCCACCATCAGAGCTTCAATTCGCATACTGGGGATCAGGAGAAGAAAAACCGAGAGTTTTAATTCTGTTTGAGGGCTGTTCAGAGGGTCTCGGTCTTCGTCTCCAATAAATGGGCTCTGAATTTGTTAAATTTGTGTATGTGCAGAAGGGAAACCCCCCCTGAGCCGCCCTGACCCCCTGGGTGGTGACAGCAGGCAGCTCTGGAGTAGCTGCAACTCCTCAAAGCACCCTGTCACAGACAGGTTTTGGTACAGCAGACGCTGGCTCACCTGCAGCCACACAATTAAAGATGAAAACCCAAAGAGCTACAGAATTGGCATTATCCTGAGATAACAAAAATTTGGAAACTTAACAAAAGCTTGCACCTGAGCCCTGCTCCTTGGTGCCCTCACCACTAAAACGTTCCTGAGGAGCCCTGGAGGATGTAGCTGACCACAACCACAAGCCCTGCTGGGGTCGGCAGCACTCACCCCTTTTCTCCTCAGCTCTGTGTTACAGGTTCTAGGCACATTTTCCAGTTTGGCATTCCTGGCTCTGTTAGATCTGGAAAGAGGCACGGTGTCCAGAAGCTCCTCGGCTTTCCCAGCCCTACCAGGGGCACCAGTCCCAAAATTGTACAACAAATCCTGCCCCTTGCTCCAGCAGCAGCCCCAGCCGGGCTTGCTGCAGCACAATGACGCTTCCCCAACACTTCTTGCACCGCTGCTGCGTGGTCCAGAAGGGTTACAGGGGCACAGAAGGTGCACGAGGTGATTTTGGTTTTGGAAGATGCTTCCTGCCCTCCAGAACCATCCCCAGGGCTTGGGCAGGGGGAGATTCGGTCCTACAAGCAGATCTTTGTGCAGATAAACGGGGATAAAAACAACCTCGGTGCCTCCCTGATGCTGGGAACCAGAAATACAAGGCACTAACCGGGCCTGAGTTAGCACGAAGCTGTCAGCGCCGAGGAACCATTTAGAAAATCCCAATTAGAAGAGCGTTAATTGCTCTCCAAGTGAGAAGGGCGTGCTGGAAGCCTGCGGACCTGGTGAAGGAGCGGGGCGAGGGGCTGCTCCGTGCTTTACCACGAGCTCTAACAGCAGAGCAAGGAGCAAACCAGCACCTGGGAGCTCAACTGCACGCCCCGCGCCCTGCCTGCTCGACAGACGGACAGACAGAAGCTGCCGCCGACTCCTGAATTCCCCAAAATCCCAAGCCACGCAGATCCCTGCCCACCACACGTGCTGCGCCGACTTGAGAGCACACCCCACCTTCAGCAAGCCGACCCAGCTGCAATTCCTTCCTCTGGTTCTAGCTGTGATGATGACAGAGGCTGCAAGGCGTGAAGCCGCATCCCATCCCGACACCCCAAACCCTCCCGAGCCACCAAACCGTCCCCGTTTGTCCCAAACCGAGAGCAAGCTGCTCTGTGCTGCTGCTTGAAGCTCAACCCTTACTTTCTCCAGCCTGCACGGTGCCTCGCTTCGGTTTCCTACCTTCCTAACTTCCATTTTGGATGTGGAAATTAAACACTAAAAAAAATAATAATGCTATTTCCAGGCAGCAGAAATAAAGCAGTGCCCCAGAAAGGCCCGCGCTACCTCCCCGGAGGGCTCCAGTCATGGCTGGGTGCTCACGGCGTGCGTGTGCCACCCGAGGAGCTCCGAGCACTGCTCCTGCCCCTCGGCTGCTGGAGCCGACCCCGAGGGCTTCAACCCGACCCCGAGGGCTCAATGAAGCGAAACCAAGGTGAGTTACAGCGCAGGGTTTGCCCGAAGGAAGGGAAACGCACCGATTCCCTCCGTCCCTTCGCTAGGATTCACGTCAGGAGTGGTTTCTGAGGGCACAGCCCAACTTTCTTTGGTTGTGCACGGGTGGCACCGAGTTACCCACCCAGAGCAGAGCTGTTGGGCACCGCCTGAAGGCAGAAATGCAACAAATTCGGCACAGGCTGAGTGCAAACAGCTTTGGTTAGGGCTGTAGCGCTTCGCCACGGAGCCACAGACACCCGTAAGAAGCTTCCCACAACTTTGTCAGCCCGGGGAGCAGCACCAGGGGCCCCGAGGTGGCTCCCAGGTGAGATCAGAAGAGGAGCTGTGGTTCCTCAGCACAGATTCAGCTCGCCAGCTACAAGAAGAGCGAGCAAGCAGGCTCCAGGCTCACCTGGGACATGGACCACGCAGGGGAGAACCCCTTCCACACACCCCTGCGCTTCCCACGTGGTTTTTTTTCCCCACCTGGGGCTGAACACGGACATTTAACAGATGCCACAGCACAACCTCCACGGGCAGAGCCAGCAGGGCAAAAAGCACCGAGGGGAGGGAGGAGAGGGGCAGCAGCCGCCCCTCGGTACCTGCGGGGTGCACACAGCGAGGCAGCACCGAACCCAGCCTGCTGAAGCAGAGCCAGATTTCCTGACCCAGAAACAAAATTTCCTGACACAAAACCAGAGCAGAGCAGGCAGATTTCACCAAACAACTCTGGGTGCTAGAGACAAAATGCCTCTAACAGCGGACAGAGCCCAGAGCTCACCCCCACCACAAAACATTGCGCTCCTGAGGCAAAAAGAAGAGCTCCGGGGGGAAAGCCTGAACTCAAAATGCTCCCCAAAACCCCTTGGGACCTGTGCTGGAGGCAGCCCCGGCTCCTGTTTGAGGAGGGGATGTTGGGCAGAGGGTTTTTGAATCTCTCCCATTCCAGGTCCCATCTTAATCGCCACGCAGCACCCGTGGTGACACCGAGAACTCCCTGAACACCAGCCACAGCTAGAAAAAAAAACATCAGGCCGTGTGTCTGTGTGCCTAACGGGAAGAGAAACGAACACCTGGAATAAAACGGAGTTAGAGCTGCCTCCCAGGAACAGTTTCCTTCTGCAACAAACTGTCTGAAGAAAAAAGACAATTACAGTTTAACCAAAAATCACCCGGTTCCTACTCTTGCTCCCAGAACGCCCTGATTCCAGCACTGAGAAAAAGTTTGGGTTGGAAAGATGGAGTTTGAGGAGTCCTCTAATTCGGGGGAAGGAAACACACGCATGGGTCTGTTCCGAAAGGGCAAACCCTGCTCGAAACAAAGCCGCCTCCTGAGGAGCCCGATCCGATTTCACAGCAGCAAACAGGGGGAGGGACCCAGAGGCAGGTGGACGAGGTGAGCGCGTCCAGCGGGGAGCGCCTGGGGATCAGAGGAGCACAAAGCTGCCCACGAGGCCACGTGCAGGGGGCCACCAGGGGACAGAATTCAACCCCTGGGGACAGAATTCAACCCCCAAACTCCTCCAAGCCACCATGGACACTGCTGGGTGCCACCCTGGGGTGGGTTTCCCCAAACCCCACCCTACAGAGCACCCCAAAGAGCCTCCCCACAGCCCTCCCACGCGGGTCCCTGACCCACTACCACCCCGCAGGGCGCTAACATGACCCCAAAAAGGCATCGCCAGCCCCGTGGCCCCACAGCCACCCCGCGGAGAGCACCCACCTGGCGATGGGGCTTCGGCTGACGGAGCGCTTGGCGGCGAAGGGGCTGCTGGAGCGCCGGCGGCCGTAGGGGCTGGGCGAGCGGCCGCTGTAGGAGCCGCTGCCTCGCTCGTAGCTGGAGGAGCGCCTCCTGTTGTAGGGGCTGACGGACCTCTGCCGGCGGCTGTAGGGGCTGGGCGAGCGGGCGTTGGACTGGTAAGCCACCGGCTCCTTGTAGGGGGGGCTGAGGGAAGGCCGGCGCGACGAGCCGCCGGGGCTCTTGCGATAGGGCTCGTAGGTGCTGGACGTGTGCGAGCGGGGCGGGCTGAGGTCGTACTCCTGGATGTAAGAGGCTCCCGAGGGGCTATCGTCCAGCTTGGGGCTGTCCGACCATTTCCTATGGGGGCTCCTGGATTTCCGCTTGGGGCTGTCGACGGTTTTGTAGCTCTTGGGAGCCTCCCGCTTGCGGTGGCTCTTGCTGCGCTCCTTGTGGCTCGACTTCAGCTCCCGATCCTTCCTGGATTTCTCCTTGTGCGCCTTGCCCGAGCGGGACTCCTTGGTGCTGCTCTTGGACGACGGCGCCTTGGGGTGCTCCTCGCTTTCCAGGAGCCTCTTGGAGGACCCCGAAACCCTGTCCTTGGTCGCCCCGGCCCTGCTGGAAGCCTCCAGGCTCTTCTCCAGCTTCCTCTCCTTCTCCGCCTGCTTGCTCTTCAGCAGCTCGCGGACCCTCTTGTGCTGGTGGTGCCGGTGCTTGGTCGCCCTCTCGCTCCTCTCCGCCCTCCTCTCCTCGTTCTCCCTGCGCTCCGCTTTGAGGCCCACATCGTCCGAGAAGGTGTCCGAGTCCGAGCTGATGTCGTCGTACTCCACCAATGGCTTCAGCACGGCTCCCAGCGGGGCCGCCGAGGCCTCCTGAGCCGCCAGCACCGCCGGCCCTTCCTTGGAGTGCCGCGATTTGTGCCGCTTGTGCCTGGAGGCCGCCCGGTGCCTCTCCTTACCCCCGCTCCCCCCATGCTGCGAGCCCCCCCACCCCACCCCCACCCCCACCGTCCTTCTTGCCCCCGTGCCTCTCCGGGTTGGGCATCCCTCCCCCGGCCGCGCTGCCCCCCCCCCAAGCAGGGAGAGGGGGGCAAGGAGGAGGAAAGGGGAGGGAGGGGAGGGAGGGGTGGGGGGGGGCAGGCCCCGAAACCGGCCCCCCCCGCTGCTTAAAGGCGCGCTAAGGCCTCTCCTCCCCGCACCATGCACGGCCCCGGGGCCTGAGGGGAGAGCGGGGTTGGGGTTGGGGGGGGTGAGGGGGGGGGGGTGAGGAAGGGCCCGGCCTCAGCGCCTCATCCGAGGAGGGCCCAGGCCCGGAGGGGCAGCGCCGCCACCGCCGCGGGGGAGCCCCGGGAAGGCGGGGTCCGGGCCCTCGCTGCCTCCGCGCCTCTCCCTTAACCCCCCCCGGCCCCCTCCCGTAGCACCGGCCCCGGTCCCGGCCCCCCGCCCCTCACGGCCCCGGCCCCGCCGCCCCCCGCTCACGGCCCAAAGCGAAACGGCTCCGGGATGGGGGGGGAGGGGGGGGGGGGGGGGGGCGCGCCCGGTAAGTCTCGCGAGAGTGCTAGCAAACCTCGCGAGGCTCTGAGGGGATTCTCGCGAGATCTCCCCTTCCCTCTCCTCCTTTCCCCGCTGTCAGCCCGGCTCCTGATGAAACCTCGCGAGATTTCCGGGAAGGGGAGGGAGGGGGGGGGAGGAGCGGGGCGCGCGCGCGCCGCGTGGTCTCGCGAGAGGTTCGACAAGGAGCGGGGATGGAGGGAGGTAACGCCCCGCCCCTCTGCTGACGACACGAGGCGGCGGCCAATCAGCGCGCGGCGGGTTGGACCGAGGGGGCGGGGCCTGCGCCCGGATTCCCCCTCCCCTACGCCGCCGCACACCCTCCCCACCTCTCGCGAGACTCGGCGTTCTCGCGAGACTCTCGCGGACTCTCGCGAGAGGCGGCGCGGCCGGGAGATGGCGGCGGCCGGCGCCGTGTGAGGCGGGCGCGGAGCGGCCCCGGCGGCCTCGGGGGCGTCGGGGGCCTCCCCCCGGCCCTTCCTCAGGCGACACCGGCGCCGCGGCCCCTCCTCGGGCCGCCCCCTTCCCTCTCCCTCGACATGAAGGCGGCGCCGGGCGGTGCCGAGGGTGAGGAGTGCCGCCGGGCCGCGGGGGGGGGGGGGGCTGAGGAGAGGCCGCGGCCTGGGGGTGGGGAAGGGGTGGGGGGGGGCAGGGAATGGGGGGGGGTCCAACCGCTCCCTGTCAGCATTCGGAGGGGTAACGGGCCCGTTGGCACCGGGATGGGGCCGCCCCGCAGCTCCCGGGGCTGTTGGGGAGGGAAATGGGGAGAGGGGGGGTCAGAGAGGGACCGGAGATCCCTGTCCGGGGGGCCCCGAGGTCCTGGCCCGAAATTCTCAGCAGGAAGTGGGCAGGCTGCGGGGCAGATCGGGCAGGAGGTGGTGGCGTTGCTGTCCCTTTTTGGAGGGGGTTAAGGAAAGTTGGAGCTGGGGGTTAGGGACGTGGTTCAGTGCGTGGCTCTGGTGACAGTGGTGGCAGGGGGGTGTTTAGGCCAGGTGGCCTTGGGGGGGCTTTTCCAGCCTTGGTGATGCTATGAAATAAAGGGGGCGGCCTCAGCACGTCTCAGCTGAAAGCCAGCAGGGCTCTGGGAGCACGAACCTGGTGGGAAGGGACAGGCACGTCCCAGGGGTGCCCAGAGCCAGGCCGAGAGGCTGCAGACGCCCAGGCAGCAGTGGCTGAACACCGAAGCACTTTGTCACCCTGTGGGTGACCGAGTGCCCACCGGGCTCCCCAGAGCTGCTGGAGTCTCCTCTGGCTGGAGAAGTTTTGAAGCCAGCTGGATGTGGTGCTGGGTGCCCAGCCACCCTCGGCCGGGCTGTGTTTGTAGCGTGGCTGGGAGGTGCAAAGTGTCCCAAAACATTCAACAAGCACCCAGTTATTTCGGACCCTCGCAGTTGGTGGTGCCAGCATCAACTCTGTGAACCGGGCGTGCGTCAGTAACGAGGATGAAGCCTTTGAATTCCACTCCGAGGGTTCGCAGGGCTGTGTGCTGCAGCGGTTAACGTGTCACAGGCTCGTGTTTGCCTTGGAGGCAGTAGGTGGCTGCGGCAAGGTTTATTTTGGCACAGATGTCTGCTGTTCGTCTGGCTTTTTTTCTTTACAAATGCAACTGAAGGAAAAAAAATAGCACAAAGGAGGGAAAAAAGCTGATTGTGGTAGTACCAAAGCTCACGTTCTCTCGTGTAAGGCTTCTCTTGGCCAAGGCTTTTGGTGAGGGAAGGGTCTGTGAAGATCCTCGCTGCACAAGAAGGTGGAAGAGCGAACAGTGAGGGGTAATCCCGGGAATTAAGTGTAACTTCTCTTCTTTACCTCTCCATTTTTCACTGTGTGGAAGCCTCAACGGTCTGTCAGTGTCCTCCTGTCGTGCCAGAACTTATCCTGACAGGGCCAGGTCATTCTGGGGGGGCTGTGCAAAGAGGAGCCCTTCTCCAACAGGCCGTGAGGCTCTTAAGGACCTCTGGGTTTGGATGGCTGGTGATATAACATTTATTTAGCCTTAAAGTCTGGGTTGCAGGGATAAGACAGCAGTAAATATATATTTTAAAGCCATGCCCAGCTTAAAAGTGGGAAGCGCTCTCATTACAACTGCCAGGCTGTGTTGTTTGTAAAACCTGCAGATATTGTCCTGTCCTCTCTCCTGAGTTGTCCCCGTGGTTGGTCTTGCAGAAGCGGAGAAGCTGAACAAGATGAGTACTCTGCTAGAAAGACTCCACGCAAAGTACAACCAGAACAGACCCTGGACAGAAACCATGAAGCTAGTCCGTCAAGTCATGGTGAGAAGGGCTGGGATCCGAGCAGGAGGGTGCTGGAGTTTGTTTTTTTCTGCAAAGTGCTTTGCGTTTTGGTCAAGCCTTGGCTTCCTTTTGGCTCAGCGTGGCTGGGGCGTGCTGTCCTCACACCCGCAGCATGCAGGGAGGGATGGGATTCCCTTCTAGCTAGGTGAGGGTAGGGAGGAGCGGGAGGAAGGGCAGAGCTACCTGAAGGACTGCTGCATTTATCGTGGTGGTAAAAGTTCACCTCTCTGTTTGTCTCCTCGTACACAACTCTCAGCTTATGCCTATTAAAAAGTCGTTACAGTCTGTTGTTCCACAGGAGCAAGTTGCTCCAAAAAATATATCAATTCCAAGCCTGCCTTTGTTACCTGCTTCCAAAATGGGTGCTGTTCTCATACAGGAATCAAAATGAGGGTGTAATTTCGGTATGAAATCTAATCTGCCTTTAATTACCTGAATAAACCTCACTTGACTGAACAAAAATTGTGGCAATTCCCCCTCACTGAGTGACGCATAACGAGGACATTTTTCTTCTTCCTGGCGTAGGAGAAACGAGTTGTGATGAACTCTGGGGGGCACCAACATCTGGTGAGCTGCTTGGAGACTCTGCAGAAGGCATTAAAAGGTTGGTACATCCTGTGCGTGCGCTGTGGGAGATGCTTAACGGTGACATACGGTGGAAATTCTCCGCAGAGCAGAAGTGAGGCCGTTGCTTGCACGTCTCGCTGCGTTCGTGGGGCTCACGTTTCCATAAGCATGCTTCTGTCTTGTGACTCAGTGTCAGTCAAGATCGCTTGTGTTATTTTTATTCTTATTGCCCCTACCTGAATTCCACCGGAGGAAGAAATCCGTTCTCCCTCTGTACTGCTGAGAACGTTTGTTTTCCTCCATTTAAATTGTTCGTTCCAGTTTTGAGTGCAGATAATGCTTAGAGATGCACGTGTTAAGGTACGAGCACACGCAGGAGTAAGTGAGGAGCTGGGGTTGTTTTAATGCTGATGTTTCATGCCAGGGAAAACGTTGAATCCTTTCACTAAGCCTTGTTTTGTGCTTTCCCCATCCAGTGTCTTCTCTGCCTGCCATGACGGATCGCCTGGAGTCTATAGCCAGACAGAACGGGTACGTCTCCTCCTTTGTTTTACGGCAAAGGCATTTCCTGTTTATCTGTACGCCTCGTAATCTCACTGCTGGTTTGATTGGTTTTTGTGTGCACCTCATAGCAATTTTTGTTTTGTTTTGTATGTAAGCCTTGGATCTCACCTTAGTGCAAATGGCACTGAATGTTACATCACTTCAGACATGTTCTATGTGGAAGTCCAGTTAGATCCTACAGGGCTGCTATGTGATGTCAAGGTGGCTCACCACGGAGAAAACCCTGTGGTACGTATTACTGAGAAAGACGAGCGTAATACCTTTTTGGGTTTGGAACTGCACTTTTGCCTCCCTTTTGTTTGAGCAGAGAAAAAATCACACTGAATGTCCTGCCAGACCAAGCGTTGTGCCTCTGCTGCTCGCTTGTTCTCATGGAGGGTCAGAGCCCCCTTGGAGTAACCTGCGAGGAGCGTTGTACTCACGGTCTCTTTTTCTTTGAGTAGTGTTAAAACTGGAAAAATTATTTGAGGAAGTTTTTGGTGTGTTTCTGAGGATTTTATTTCTGGAGGAAGGATAGGGAAACGAATCTTAGAAAACTTAAATCTGTGAGTGGAAAGCACTAAGATGGGGAATGTTATGGCTGAAATCCTGAAAGAAAATTGCTTTACTTCCCTCCCCACAGGTGTGAGAGTTTGAACTCACTCTTTATGTTGGTGTAGCTGCTCTTCTGAAAACAGCCCATTTTTAATATATCTATGTGAGATTGCAGGCTCTCAACCTCTGGTGTCACAATTTTAAAAGCTTATCCCAAATCAATTGTTTAAGAAGAAAGAACATTGCCTATATTTGTTCCAAAGGGGGTTGACAAGCAGAACTACAAACATAGCAACGTGTAGTTGTGAGCATTTTGTTGCTTCTCATCTAAAGATGATGCTCAAAAACTTCACCGTTGTAATATTTTACAGTTGCTGTGCTGCACAAAGACTTAAACTGCGTTTGACATTGATGTTGCTGCATGTTCTTTCCTTTTCAGAGTTGTCCAGAACTGGTGCAACATCTGAGGTGAGCAACAAGAACTGGTTGCTACATTTTTGGATTGGCTTCTCTTTGCAGTATGGATGTGATACTATTTTACGCCTGGAAACACAAAACATTTCAAAGCTGTTCTTTCCCCATAAAGTCTCTCCTCTTCTTCAGGGGATTTTCTGGCTTTGGATCAGATGTTTCTGATCCTGACTGCCATGCCTGGCATCTTGGGAGCCACAGCACAAGATGCATTCAGAATTGTTAAAGCTGGATCACGTGAAGAAGGCATCACTTAGCTTTCATGTAGCAAAACTCTATTCTGAAGTGACTTGATATTTGTATTAATGGAACTTTTAAAAACAAAGCCTTATCTGCAGCAAATTTGAACGCGTGTTACTTTTTCTCCTGACTTTCAGAGAGAAAAATTTTGATGAATTTTCGAAGCATTTAAGGGGACTTGTGAACCTGTATAAGTTGCCAGGAGACAAGTAAGTCTAGAATATGTATGATATTTATGTCCATGTTTATACTGTTAAACCTACAAGCTTCTAGCTTTGTGCTTAATCTTTCA